CAGGAGACGTAAGAGTAAAGGTGGGTGAAGAACGGGAGGTGGGGTGATCTGTGAGTGGAGGTTGCGCGCTTGAGTTAGCACAGAAGATAGGCATAGCAGGAGCAGCAGTAAGCAATGCGGTCCATGATCCGTCAGTGGAATTGATGCTACCCGGTTGCTCAGGCCGAAGTAGAGGGTTGTCTTAGAGGCCCTACCCCGAGCGTTTGATCAAAAATCTAACCTACCAGGCAGCAGGACGATGTGAGGGCGTCGCAACCCGTTGGGAACCGGTGACCAAATAGATGTTTCATGCACCTTTCGGTCCGTGAAGGACCAGGGGCGCAACGCACCCTTGAAGTACAATGCCTCTCAGGGAGGGGTAAGGGACAGTGACTTTATTTAGTGGCGAGTCACACCCGCCACGTCGGAGTGTTGTTAAACAGACATTTGTGGCTTTTTATAGGGAGAACGCTTGTCAGGCGAAAGTCCACAATGTCCTGGAACACTGCCGCCGAACCATTTGCTGGAACGCGAATAACCCGAACCACCCAGTTGGCACCACGAGGAGATTGTACGGCAAGCCAGCCAATGCCCAAGTACAAAGAAGGCAACCGGCACGTTACTGCAAACTATTAACCGATATGCCTGACGTCTGTGATTTGCAAGCTCGTGGTACGGATCGACAAGCGCGCCTCCCAAACCCACTGCGAAGGCCTGTGCGTTGTCTCTCCCGCTCTGCACGGCTTCCGCATGGCTCGCTCCTGCATCTCTAACCTGCTTGTTGCCAGGGAAGCATGGGTCAAAGCAGCAGCTGACCGGAGACACCTAGATGTTATCTACGTTGACTTCAGCAAAGCTTTTGACAAAGTCCCACACAAACGATTTCTGCTCAAACTCCATGGAATTGGCGTCACTGAGAGCTTCCTTGTATGGGTTGCGGACTTCTTGAGAGGTCGGTCACTTCAAGAGAAAGTGAACCAAACGCGCCCGTGTTTCCGGGCGGGCAACACGCAATTTCCACCTGCAATATAGACGGTTATTCACAGGTTATTGTCTCACCTATCCATCGCAATGAGGCTGGACCTTACCGTGGTGCGATGGTTTACGTGCCTCAGAGATTCATTGAGCTATACTGGGTGGTGCTTTTTTGCACCTTCAGAGCCTTTCGTACCAGATTGGTTAATGGTTAGAGGCCAGACAAACAGCCTCTTGGTCCTCCAGCTTAGGGGTTGGAATGAGGATGGCTCCTTATTCCACAAAACGGGCTCTCTCTAGTCCAGTGCCACAACCCCGCTGCCTTGTGGTACGGTTTTTGAACCAAAGGCTTTGATTGAGAACCACAATCGTTCTCCTATCTAGGCCTGGGCAACGTGAGAGTGTTCTGCCTACGCAATACAATGAACCTTTCCTACAACAATTTTTTGATGCTCTTGCTGTCTGCGCTATCTGCTGCATCGAGCAAGGTGGATAGGGCTATAGATGCTACTACTCAGGCCTTCCCGTGTTCTTATCCCCCTTCTTGCGTTTTTTTATTCTTATCGTTCCGCTCCAACATTGCTTTCCCCCATTTTCAGCCCTTCAATTCTTGGCCCTCCCCCACCTTGCTTCAATAGTCGCTTGTCTTCTAGTTTCAATTCATACAGTCGCAGAGCGTCGCTCCAATCCAGTCGACAAGTCCGTGTTCAACCAAGCGGACAACCTCAGTTCATCCGTTTCTCTTTGTAGTCCTCGCGTCTCGCTAAGACTGGCATGCCTCAACATGCGCACTTTGCTACAGATTGGCTAACAGGCAGTACTTGCCCACACACCAGAGACCCTATCGATCGATATTTGCTGTTTATCAGAAACCCGCTTGCAAAATTCTAGCTCCGTGGTTACCCTGCGATCCCCCACATGCGACACTGGCAGCCCATTCTCATTGCGTCTGTCTGGCGATGATACAGCTTCAAATGCCGATCAAGCTGGCGTCGGCATTGTTTTGAGTCCCCGGGCTGAAGCTGCCCTGATCGATTGGATCCCAGTAAACAGCCGAATGTGCGCCGTTGGATTGGTTGGTTCGTTCCATGCTACGAAGTCGCGCGGAGACAAACGGTGCCTGTTTGTCATTGCGGCCTACGCCTCTACAAACTGTAGCACTGATTCGGTAAAAGATGCTTTTTATCAGCAACTTCACGATCTCCTTCGTTACAGAAGAAACACGGATACTGTGGTGTTGGCTGGCGATCTAAACACCCGTCGGAAAATTATCATATGATGAGCTTCATTTGGGCGGCCAACGTGGTGTAGGCTTCCGTAATGATAACGGTGAGCGATTGCTACAGCTGTGTGGAGATGCTCCGCTCCTTCTCGCGACCACAAACTTTCGACACTGTCGCTCGATTTGGTGCACGAGCATGGACTCTGACTGCGCACTTGTCTGCACCGACTTCCGGGTGCGTTTCGGTGAACGTGCGCAACGTCGATGTGAACGGATTGACATCAGCCAGCTGGCGAAGCCAGGTGTTCCGAATGTGTATCAAAGTGCGCTGATATCCGGACTGAGTAAGCGCCCAATGGACACCGTCGAAGATCACTGGTCGCATATTCGTCAAACGTTACTACAGCAGGCATGTCTTCATGTGGCAAATCAAATTGCAAACTGGACATTAGGTCTCTACACAGTCTCTGGAACTTATGTATACTCGCTGACGTATTCCGACTGGAAGGGAATACAATGAGGCTCGCAAAAATCTCAGGGCAAAACTACGTGCTAGCCTGAAGAAATACCGCGAAGCCTGGTGGTCTCATCGTGCTTCAGATGGAAACAGCCGCTACCGTTGGCAATCATCTGTTATTCTGTCTGATACGAGAAACAGGCAGTAGGGGACCTTGTGTTAGCGTGACCATATGTGACGAGAGTGGGCAGCCGATCCACAGCCTGTCGAAACGCTTAGAACGTTGGGCAGATTTAGGCCATTTAACCAACCTGAGTCATCGGTTTCTTTTTCGGATATTGAGCGCAATTCTCCCTGAGCCGTCACCTTGGATCCGCCCTCACGCGCAGAACTCAAACGTGAGATCAGAATGTGGAAATTGCATAAGGCCGTAAGGTCTGATAGATTCCTCCAGCCCTCTTCGAATTCGTCGGACCTGCTCTAATAGATGATTTACATGAGTTGCTAACGAAACTTTGGGAGCAGGAGACTATCCCGACAGACTGAAGCCGCTCCGTCATTGTCCCATTTTCAAGGGAGGCTTCCGTTCGGAATGCAACAATCATAGAGGGATCAGTCTGATTTCAATTGGCTCTAAATTGCTTGCGTCTGTCATTCTTCACAGACTGACTGGCACTCGTGAAAGCCAGATTCGTGAAGAGCAAGCCGGATTTCGTCGCGGTCGCGGCTGCATTGACCACATCTTCACCTTGCGTCAACTGTTGGAGCAACGCCATGTTTATTGGCGACCCACCGTTGTCGTGTTTCTTGACATAAAAGTTCCTTCGACTCAGTCGATCGACGTGCCCTTTGGGACTATCTGCTGAGGAAAGGTGTGCCTGATAAATATGTAAACATTATCAAAGCGCTGTACGCGCATAGTTCGGGCAGGATGAGGGTTTATGGCAAACTGTCGCCACCCTTCAGTATCACCAGCGGTGTGAGACAAGGTTGCCCGTTGTCACCTTTCCTCTTTAACTTCACTATTGATGAAGTCATGGAAACAGCGTTCGCTGAACACGACATAGGTGTGGAGCTACTTCCTGGTGAGCAACTTCTTGACTTGGAGTACGCGGACGATATTGCTCTAATCTGTGACAGCTCCCAAACATGTCAGGCAGCACTGGACCGATTAGCACTGGCTGTCAATCGTTTTGGGCTATGCTTTGCTCCATCGAAATGCAAAGTACTTCTCTAAGATTGGCAGGGATCCAACCCTGCGCTAACGCTTGGTGGCGATCAGCTAGAAGTCGTTCAGGAATTCAAGTACCTGGGCAGCTATATTAGCGCTCGTGGGATTGAAGATGAGGTTACGAACCGTATAGCAAAAGCTCGAGGTGCTTTTGCCAATCTCCGCCACCTGTGGCGCCGACGCGACATTACTCTCGCCCTGAAGGACAGAGTTTATAACGCAGCCGTCCGTTCAATTCTCCTATATGGTTGTGAAACCTGGCCCATCAGGTCGACAGACATAAAGAGGCTCGTCATATTCGATCATCGCTACCTTCGCAGCTTAGCTGATGTCTGGTGAGAGCACCGCGTGAACAATGAGCGTGTCCGGCGTCGCGTTTTTGGTGCAGGAAGAGCAAGTGAGCCGCTCAGCACCATTATATCACGCACCAGGCTCCGATGGCTGGGCCACGTGTTGTGCATGCCAGCACACCGACTTCCGCGACGTGCATTGTTTGCGCGTTGTGGATGCGGTTGGAAGAGGAGGAGGGGACTCCAAGCGATGACTTGGTCTGGAGAGATGAAAACCCTTCGAAGTTGGCGTCGGTTGGTGCATTCGGACTGCCTGGTTGGGGTCCTAAGGACGATGAACACGTTTGGTTGGACAGACTTGCTGCCATGGCTAGGAGCCGGCCCCAATGGCGTTTGTGTTCTGAGTTCCTTTGTCTATCCCCTCCTGCTTAGCCTCCCCCTTCAACCACCATCGCATTCTTTAGGCATGACAACTTTTTGCGGCATGATAGTCGGCTGTTAGCTCTACGGAACGATGTCTATCCGTTACTGGGGACTCAGCCGGCGTGCCACTGTTTTTCTTCGTTTCCTTTGTATTGCGGCACAATAGCTGTTTTCCACTCGCAGCCAACATGTACACTGATGAATGTTGCTGATGACTATCCGACTATTTTGTTTCACTTTATGCGCTTTATAATCCAGTGCGCCTTATATATGAAATTAGATCCGTTATACTGCGTCTTATAATCCTTATCGTCCGAAAAATACAGTATATTTGGATTACAGCCATAGAATAAAAACCAATCTTTCTTTTCAACCTTCGTTCCATATACTTTATGGTGTTTGTGCATTCCTATTCTGATTCCTTTCAGATGACTGCAATACATACAATCGATACAAATCATGAGGACATGATCGTAAGCCGTCTCTCGTTGAAGCACTATCTTTCATCCTACGTCTCATTTTATAGCACGATGCTCAGCTCGACTATTACGGTACCACCCTTGCAACTGCTTCCTCTGATGAGTCCATCAAAATATTTGATGTCCGCAACAAGAAACAAACTCTAGTAGCACATTTGCGCGAGTGAGTAACTATTTATTTCACATCCAATACTCTTGAGATAGCTGCAGCAGTGCCTTGTCCATGTTTCCGCCCAAGCTTCCGTTCTACAGCCTTAATGGTTTGGGGTTTGGCTTTTCGACTTAAACATTAAACAGCTTCATTGCAGTTGTTACCCTCGGATCATTACACTTATCGTGTGACACCAGCGTATTCACAATGATTGCGCACGCAGGCAATTATTAGACAGCGGCGATCAGTTTAGTTTCTTAGACCAACACATAAAGCTGAATAAGCTACCTTGGTTCAAGCACCTGTCACGCAAACCCACTCATCGCTTACCAGAGTTTAGATGGCACGAAATTCTAGGGGGCGGGCAGTCCTTGACCTTGCAAAATGCACCAGCAATAGGACGTACCCATGCTTCACTGCCATGGGGTCACCAGTCACTCGCAGGTTAGGCATACCGGGTCGTTATCTGCATCTACGCACAGTCCAGTTGGTGATCTCTGGGTTAGAAGACGAACCCTTTATACTAACCAACCCTTGGACTGACTGTGGAAAGTGAAGACGTCACATGCCGTTTCCATTGCTGTTAATCCGTTTAGCCTTCCGAGCTTCCATAGCCGACGCTTCTTTTCCGCAGGCAGCAGTAATTTCTCATGTACCTGGGAAACCGCAATCTTGATATGCTCTCACCATCAGCCCCTGTCCACTGCTATCACTTCTTAGGACCTGAAATCAACATCATTTCGTGATAAGCTCACCTTGATCATGCCCTGATAACGTAACTCCGGTTTTCCCACGTGTCACTTCCCTGCACGCATTTTGCCATAAAGCAGCTGTTTCGATATCTGGGTCGAATCCATACGGCGAACATGCCCAATCCACCTTAGGTTCTGTTGCAGAATTATGAAACCCACTGCATACATGCCCTTGCAACGGAACACTGCCGTGTCGGTCACCCCAGCCGATGTGCAAAATACGACGCAGGCACTGTTGTTGAAATCGCCCCAACTATCGGACATTTTTCCGGTACATTGTCCAGGTTCCACTGCCTTACAGAAAAAGAACGGGTAGCACCATAAACTGGCATATCATCAGCTTCGTCCCAACGGTCAGCTGGTGATTGTTCCACACACTTTTTTCTAGGTTTCCAAATGCGACAACCACCTTCGAATCGCGGATACGCAGCTCACTCCTCATATACAGGTCGGTAGACATTGCGCTTCTTAGGTAGCAAAGCTCTAAGTGGTTTCCAAAATGCTGTTGCCAATGCGAATTTGCGGCAGGCCCACGGATTCCATTTTTTGTGAAGGCTGAAAAAGACAATCTTGCTTGTGTTGATGGTATCCCGATTTTCCCCGCTGTCAAGGCGCGAGCCGACGTCATGCACTGCAGCTCATTACGCTGAGCGCTAACAATACAGTCGTTGGCAAACAGTAGCATACGGATAGTCTTCTCACACACTAGGATTCTCGCCCCGAAAGGATGGATGTTCAGTAGCTCATCACAACAACCGTGCTCTACACGGATACCGTAGTCACAAGCAGCATCAATGCAGACTGCATGAATGTACATATGAAACAAGGTAGGCACTGAGGCACAAACTTCACACCAGAACCGACATCAAATACATCCAAAGTTTGTCCACAGAGCTGCACCTTCTCCCGCATTCCACTGTGCAGACATACAGTTAGCCCTATACACTTACTCGGACAGCCAAACTTACCCAGCATCGGCCACAGTGCCACGTGGTCCACTAAGTCACATGCTTTGGTGCAGTCAACAAACAGAGAGTGCAATGGCTGGTATCGCTCTCGGCATTTCTCCTGCAACTGATGAGCTGCGAACACCATATCTATGATACTGCGGCGCGAACGGAATCCACATTACTCTTCCGTCACGTGTGGTTCAGCGACGTGGGGGATGAGGCGGTTGAGCAGGATTTGGGCGATTACCGACACAATCCAGCAAGTTTATGCCGCGATAATTCGTGCAGCATTGCTTGCTACCTTTACCCTTGTACTGTGGTAGCATAAAGGGATCCTTCAAGTCAGCCGGTACATCCACTTTAAATCACATGCTTTGCACCAAGTAGAGCAGCGCATGTATCAAAACGAGTCCGCCATGTTTTAGCTCTTCAAACGGTATTCCGTCGGAACCGGTGCACTTGGCGTTTCGCTGCTGAGTAAGTGCTCTGCCTCATCCTTTGTCGGTGTGCCAACAAGACACATTTTCATCACTTGTTGTTGCAGGCCGTGCAACGTAGGCCAGTCAATCTGTGAACGATTGTTCACGAGACAAAGTGCGTTCGCTAGATCTCCATTGTGATTGCAGTCCGTGCACAGGCAGTGTCTGAAGTAGCATCCTACAGCGTTCTCAGCCGCTGCAAGGAGTCGAAGAATTCCATATCTTGGCGGCATTCGGCATAGCATTCCGTTCGCTTCGCTTTTTCCGTCCACCATGCATTCTTAATGCGACGGTGCTCTCGAATCAGTCAACACCAAAGTTGGCGAAACTTACTTTTCGGAGTCAACAAGATCCGCTAAATGTGCAACGAATGCTGCATTCTTCTCCGACACCCATACCTCACTGGTCGCACTGTTCTCATTAAACTAATCAGGCTATTTACAGCTTTCGCGCCCGATGGTTTTCTCAGCAGCCGCCGTTACCTGTTCACGGGCGTAGCATCACAGGTCGCTGACTGAGGCGATGGATACGGCATTGCCAATGCAGGTATCCATCGCATTGTCCATCTCCATCCTCTTCTCGACAGTACCTAGGGAAAGATCATTAGATATGCGCCGCTGATTCATGGTAGCTGAGCCATCCACAGCTTTACGAAAATGTATGCACAATTTGATCCACACCAACTTGTGATCAACGCTGCACTCAGCTCCACGCAGCACTCGTGTTATGCGCACTTCACACATGTCACGCTGCAGTACGATGACATTGTCTATCAGATCAGCGTTACACACACACACACATATATATATATATATATATATATATATATATATATATATATATAGTACACACTCTGTGGTACAGATATTATGCCATCAGAATCATGGCTGAATAGGACACTGTATGAATAATAAGAAAAGAACAACAACAAACAAAGCTTTTTTGTCCAGTTTACCACTCACAGTTTTTGAAATTTTTCAGTTTGTATCTTTAGGGGGAGGAAGAAGGGACGCCGATGCACACGTCCGCCATTGACATCGATCTTGAGCCATGGCTTCCAAGGTCTTCAACCAGCAAGTATCCGCATCTCTCGGACCCTAACCAGGTAGTCGACAACAACCGGCCGAGGCCAACTGTTTCGTCAGCTTTTTCATGCGGCTTCTCCATGTTGTAAGCTGTCCACCAGACCGTCTATCCAGCCCTGTTCAACAACCGCAAACAACGCACGACGCGGGTAACGCTGGACAGGCATGCGCAATACGTGTCCCAACCACCGCAGTGGATGCAGTGTGACGTGCTCCTCGAGCGGGTGGCTTCCACGTCCCAAGACACGCTGTCTAACTTCCACATTGCTTACTTGGTGCCGCCACCACACACGGGAAATGGACCGCAGACAGCGGTGCTTGAAGACTGCTAGTCTGCGCAAGTCATCTTTAGGAATGGGCCAGGTCTCGCATCTGTGCAACAGTGCAGCATGAACAGTTGCACACTAGACCCGCGCTTTGATGGAGAGACGAATGTCGTGGCGACGCCACGAGTGCCTCAGCCTAGAAAAAGCGAGGTGTGCTCTCGAGATGCGCATCGAAATCTCGTCTCCAACATCCCCGCTAGCAGTGATGCAATTTCCCAAGTAGACAAAGCTTTCCTCAACCTCTAGTGTCTCACCACCAAGAGTGAGTGCAGGCAGAGGCACCTGCCAGTTTTGGAAGCGAGCCTTGCATTTGGATGACGGAAAGTACATACCATACATTAATGCTTCAATCGCCAAGCGGTTTAGTGCAAGTTGGACGACGTGTGTATCCTCACCCAGCGAGACGATATCATCAGCATAATCCAAATTAACAACTTGACTACCTGGGAGGAGCTGAACGCCAGTGTTCAACGAATCGCCTAGAGCGTTCTTCAAGACATCCTCAATGGCAAAGTTGAATAGGAACGGAGAGATAGGGCATTCTTGTCGAGCTCCACTGGAGACCACAAAGGTAGACCACAGCTTACCATAAACCTTAACCCTGCCCGAGGTCAGACTACAGACAGGGATACCACTCCTCAGTAGGCAGTACCACAGTACCGTACGATCGACAGAATCGAAGGCTTCACGGATATCCAAGAACACAGCAATCGTTGGCCTATGGTACACATGGCGGAGCTCGAGGATCTGGCGGAGTGTGAGGATTTGTTCGATGCAGCCGCGACCAAGGCGAAACCCAGCTTGTTCTTCTCGCTGCAACGATTCGCGCGTTGCGGCTAGCCTGCGAATTATGATGGACACCAGCAGCTTGCAAACGACGGGGACTAAGCTTATGCCTTTGTAGTTGGAGCAGATTGTGCGCAGGCCTTTTTTGAAAATGGGAACCACTATTGATTCACCCCAAGATGATAGAACTTTCTGTTTCGACCAAACTTTCGAGAACAAAGCGGTGAGTTCTCGAACCAGCGAAGCGCTACCATCTTTAACTAGAGCTGGAGGAAGACCATCAGGGCCGGCGGCTTTATAATGCTTCATGTGCCGGAGCTCCTGCTCGAGTTCCTGGTAAGAGGGAGGATCTGTGAGGGTAGACCACTCGGCCCCAGCGCGAGCGCCAGAGGTAGCAGATGGAGCTGGGGGCCAACAAAACTGCGAGCCAAAGTGTTCGGCCCATCGCTCCAACCGTCGTTGAAGATTGGTGATTAAGGTGCCATCCTCTTCGCATATTGTTTCACTTATACCAGATCGAACACCTTCGGTGACTCGAATGAGATGGAAACGTTTTCTGGTATTACCAGAGAGACTAGCAGGCTCCATCTCCCTAGCACGTTCACACCACCAAGCTTCGCGGTCCATTTGCCGA